GTGACCCTGGAGGACATTATGCTGAGTGAGGTATCTCAGTCACAAAGGGACAAATGCTATATGGTGCCACTGTTGTAGAATGAGGCTGATATCAGAGTGGGGGTAAGACTGAGAAAAACTGGATGAAATATGTTTACGGCATTGAAGTCTATGAGGGAGAGAATAGTTTAAAACTATTATATTTTAGGGCGTTATGTTTATCGTAAGAGTATGGAATGAGGGTTGCAGAGTGGATTATATTTGGGGTTGGGGGTGTGGGTGGGGGATGTGCGGGCGGGGATTGTGTACCAATGAGGGAGTTTTTCTTTTGCTTTTCAAGGAGAGGAGCAAACGGGGTAGAAGGGTGCAACAATGAATGAATGGAATTCCAAAATCTCTGTAGATGTTCATTGAAATGAAAAATAGATAAATAAATAAAGAAAAAAAAGAAAACTGTGAGCACTAAAGCTCTGTCAACATAATAAACATCTTTTTCTTTAAAAAAAAAAGTGTGTTGTTTACGACATTCCTTAGTAGGAGGATCTTCCTTCAGAGCAACACCAGGATTCAACATCAATACTGGGGACTACTACTGCCATGGGGCACCCAAGGACGGAGCCTGATCAGCAATAACAGAAAAGGCTAGGCCATTAGAAAGCAGAGTGTCCAGAGCATCTTAAAGCAGGAAGTGCTGCTGACCTCCTTCAAGGCCAGCCACCAGACTTCTAAGCTAGCAACTACAAGAGTGCCGGCAGTGTCCGGGCAACAAGGTCAAGGAAACTGTAGTGCATCCACTAATGGCAATCAGCATCCCCCATCCTACCAACTGAACCCTGAGTTGCTGCTGACATGAGAGGTAATGTAACCCAGTTCTTGCTTAATGTAAAAGCAGTTTTCTCAGTTCTACCTTTTCTCTTGAGGCCTTTTCCCCATCAAAAGTGTAAAGTTAAAAGTGTAAACATAAAGGATTGACTTTATAACAAAAACTCACAGCTTTTTGTAGAATTCAAAACAAGGTCTATTGTCCAGCCTCTTGCTTAAATGTCTAAGTGTCCGACACCAGACAAAGTCTGCTTGCTACACTGTTGTATGTGCCTTTGAGCCACCTGTTACTTATAGCAATTTTATGCACAATAGCTCTGAACCCTGCCCTGAGCCAGTGTCATTGTCCCTAACACACCTAACCCCCCTTATCCCAGTTACGGTGTCAATCTATCTCATTGCTTCCTACATTAAATACTATTATTTTCTTTAAAAAAAAAGGAGAGGGTAGAAAAAGAAATTATCAAGAAACTTGAAAGACAAATCATTACAAAATTATGGGATACCTTTGTGCCAATGAAAGCCAAAAAAATTATAGCAGTGGTAAATAGTAAAAACCATCAAAAAAGAAACAGCTTTGTAAATCAAGACCAGTTTGCCTTTATCTAGAAAATAAAGCAATGGACATTCTTTGGACTGTGTCAGAAATATCTGTGCAGCTCCACCATTTGCCATAGTATAACTGGTTAAAAAGTAACCATTTTCTGCTGTCTGGTAGTTTCATTGTACTAATGCCATTATATTAACTGCTGAAGATAGTTCTGTTACCAGATTATGTAGATGCTCTAATTATCCATTTACAAAAGAGAAAAAAAAATCATAAATCTCCAGAAGTTTCAAGAACCATGAATGCTGGTAAAATTCCTAAAGGTTGTGTATTTAATTGAGTGAAACTTGTGTATTGTCTGAAGCCAAAGTGTACCGCTGCTCCATCTATAAGTAGTAAGGAAATGTAAATCTTTGTCAAAACTGACTAAACAGTTGTAGAAGGCATGAGAGTTCATGAGAACTGATTAAACCGTTGCACAAAGGATGTATAAATCTGTGACTGAGAAGGATAGTAATAATACTCTTTTAGAAGGAAAAGAAAGTAGCTTGATATGAGAACAGATATAATTTTTCCCAGAACTAAAAAGTAAGTTACTAGAAAGTAAAATAAGTGATTAGAAAATAAGAGTAAGTGAATTTTATTTTAAGGATGAATTGTTTTACATAGTCTTTAAAAGAAGAAAATCCAAACAAATCAAGTTAGAAGGTTTATCTTAGTTAAAAATACTTTAAAAAACAAAATGCATCCTTACTATTACTGTTTAGCTTTTGTGTTTCTAACATGCTTTTTAAGTTTATATCTTTCAGATTATATTACAAATTTTCTGGATTTGGACCCTAATGTGAGCTCCTAGATCTTCTGTGGACCCCTGTATCAGCCTCCTTCCAAAGGAGTCTAACATGGAGTGGTTTCTATCTCCACTCCCCTAACAGCAGTCAGAGTTCCAATCTCAGACGAGGTTGCAGGTTGCAGAGCTGAGAAGAAAGAAGCCTTCCATCAGCAAAATCTAAACTATTTAGCTTAAGCCCCTTAATTGGCTTCATCAAATATATACACTACTTTAAACTGACATCTATTTGTATAAGGCAAATAATACAATTTAGACCCTAAAGAATCTTTTAAAAAACAACAAAAATGGGGAGTGGTAATGGTTAAACTGACCCAGGAAAGAGCTGCCTGGGCTAAGACAAAACTGACACTCTGCCCTGAGACAGCATAATCTTGACTCTCACACTGAAGGTGCCTTCTATGAAGATGTAGTTATGGAAACAGGGAAGGTCAGCAAATAAAGATAAAAAGCAGTAATAAACATCCTGGAATCCAGTTCACATATTTTACTGCTTATGTAATGGAAATCTTCTCCATAAAAGCTATGAGGATGTATAAGTTGGGAGGATACACAACCATGAGTTCCTCCCCCTTTACCTTTTGACTAAGAAATGTCTTGAGCAGTTCATTTTATCCTGCAATACTTTCCTGCTGGTCAAACTCAAATATTAACAGGGCATATTCATGAGAAAACCTGTGTCTGAATATATGTCTGTAAGAAGGGAATGGCTATAAGTTTATCTGAAAGAAGTTTGTATTTGGGAACAGTGAGAAATAAAAAAACAAATTTGTAGAAAAAGAATCCCTTCACTACAAGCTAAAGAAACAGATATGCTCTAATACTTAAAAAGAAGGTGTCTTGTTATCCAAGTTGCTATAAACAGAGATACCAAACGTGGACTGACTAACAAACAGAAATTTACTCTCCTGTTGTATAGGAGCTAGATATCAAATTCAAGGAGCCACCTATAGGGGAAGGCTGCATCTCTCTGTTGACCCTGGGCCTAGTCTTCCTTGGAGATCTGAGAATATCCATTCCAGCTCCATTAAACTTGATATGGGGAAAGACTGAATTCTTACTGAATTAAACCACTGAGATATACGGACTATTTGTACAGAATCTAATGCTGTTGTTATTGGGTCCCACTGAGTCAGTTACAATTCACAGGCACACTATGAACAAAACAAACTTCCAGCCATTTCGACATCCCCAGAACTGCTGTACGTTTCAACCAATTGTTGCAGCCACTAAGTCAACTCTGAGCATCATTCTTTAGTGTTGACCCTCTACTTAAGAAAACATTAAGAGTCCTTTTCCAAAAACTGGTCCCTCCCAATAACACGTTCAAAACACATGCGTGAGATAGAATTTGGCCATTCTCACTTCTAACCACAACTGGGGATAGGGGAAGAACAATATATTTGAATGATTGAATAGAACCAATTTGCTTTGTATATTCTCACTCAAAATGACAACAGATGGGGGGAAAGTTAAGAACATATAAAAAAACTAAGAAGAAAATCTATCTGAATGTTGTTTTCAGTTTAAAATGTAAGCTTTTTACCTTTTCTTTTTCTAATTGTAATGAAAATATATATAAGAGGACATATGCCATCTCAATTTCAACCTGTAACATTCAATAACAATTATGTTCAAATGGTGGGACTATCTTGCTATCCATTAGAATTATTCTTTTTTCTTATTGTTTTAGAATTAGTGTTATAGCTAACACACCCACCTCATTAAAGGTGAAACTGCTAGATTAAATGAAAAGAATCTACAATGCTCCAAAGTTTATCAAGACAACTCATCAAAGTAAATCAGAACAAAACCACTTACCATAACTGATCAGCAGAAGGACAAAAGGCATATTTTTAAACAGATTCCTTATTGATTTCTTATAGGAATACTTTTCAGGAAGATTGTCCTGGAGAACTGCTTGAGCCTGACTTGGTGGATACGGAGGTTTTTCCTTGAATGCTGGGGACATACATGAAAAGGCAATTACATATACTTAATCTATCCATGCATACAAAATAGACAATTTTTTTAAGATGAGTCAAATGAATTCAGTTTAAGTTTAAAGAAATATTGAAAATGTTTTATGGTAAGGCTTTCCATTCTCAAAGATTTCTGTTTGTAATTATAGTTCCAACTTTTTAAACTAAATTGTAGAGATTTTGCCAATTTACATAATCAAACTGTAAAGCCACAAATATACCATGGCCCTGTTGAATGTGTTATTTTTGGTTAAGTGTATTTAATTTTTCTTCTATTAAGTATTCAATAATTCCATTTTATTATTTAATGAGAGATGAACTGTTAAGAGAATTGTCTTGAATCAGTAATAACTTTCTTCTGATCTAATTATACATCCAGAGTTAAACAGACCAGAATGAATTTTGGGGAGCAGGGATAGTTCTATCTTGACTCACTCTAGCTACATATGGAAAAGGAAGGACTAGAGCTTTGAAGGATAAAGGTGTAAAATTTGGTTTCTAATACTCTTAGTGTTAGCGCCATCCCTTTCTATGGAGTTAAGAAATAAGAGTTCATAACCTCTCACAAAGACATTAGAGACAACCCTTTTACTGAGAAGGAAAGATCTATCAATTTCCTGAGGCAGATAGTTAGGGGGACATTTCTATAGGGCCACTAACCAAAAGAAGATCAGTTCAAATCTAGTAGCCACTCCATGGGAGGAAGATGAGGCAGCCTGCTCCCCTAATACTTACAACATTGGAAACTGGTAGAAGGTTCCCATGAGTTGAAATCAACTCAAAGGCGGTGGGTCTTATTACAATTTCATGTATTGAAAATGAAAATTTAGCTATAGTATTGACTCAAATTTTTTAAATAAAATAGAGTGAAGATACTCTATCGAATCAGTGATGCTTTAAGGCAGGCACTCAGTGATTTTAGCAGGTATCAATAGATTTTCAAATAGTATTTGAATTGTCAAAAATGTTCAATGTTAGATTATTAAAGGCTTTTCAATTTCAGATGAGTATTTTTCTAAATTTGTACAGTTCCAACAAGGAAGGTCTGTAATGGACTCTGGACATAGGTTAGACCTGACTGTCCACAGAAATTATGCAGAAATTTTAATACAGATTTTGGGATTCTACAGGAGCCTTCGTGGATCAAAACCTCTAGGATGGAACCTGAGGATCTGTATTTAAACACAAAATTTCAGAAAAGAGAGCTATATCCTGTCAGCTTTCAGAATCATTGTGAAAGGAAGAAAATGATCTTTAAGCCTTCCATGTAATACTGTGACTTTCTAATTCTCCTGTGCTTGGCACTAGTTCCTTGGTGACCAAAATATTGGTTCATTATAACTAAAATTCATGAAATGAAAATATTTTTCCCTACTTTTTCAGGCATTACAAGTATTCACAAAGACATAACTCATATTTACTTTTTAAAAATTTTTTTAAAATTTTATTTTTTTGTGTGTGTACCATCAGTTCGAATCTGACAGGTACAGGAGATTGCCCCTCATCCAGCAGAGCATCTGGTGGATTTAAACCGCATACCTCTGGGATTGCAGGGAAGCTTCTTGCCACTAGGCCACCAAAGCTCCCTCTTTGGTAAAGAACTGGTAGACATAATGTTTAGTGGTTACAATTCCTCTTCTTCCTTTTGCCCTATGTGCTCTTTGAACTGCTGAGAAGGGCTGGGTCATTTCCTGAACATCTTGTGTCTTAGTTAGATATATCTTTTTTTTAATTAACACTGATGATACAGACTTAAAACTGTAAAATAAAGTTTCAGAATGTAAAACATGTGCCCAAGGCAGTCATATCTCTCAAATTTTTATTTACCTTGGGGCGGAGGCCGGGGGGAGAGTTCAAACGGCCCAGATCTGAATCAAAAGACAATTTTCTCAATTTCCAATTCTGTTACTCATCTGAGAACAAACATTATTTTATGTGTTAGCTTCAACAGTCAACTGCTCTCTTGGGCACAATCAGGCCTGTACCTGTCAACAATATACTGTAGACAGACAAGGCAGCTTTTTATCTTGAGAAACAATTTTAATTCTCCTACAACCCAGAATTTTGGGTCTACTGAGTTGGGGTGACATGCTCCGACCATCTACTTTGGTGTACTTTTAAAACTCCAGGATGTGTTCTGATGGTAGCTCCTAAAAATCCACCTCCATTTCATTATGTGCCCACTGCGTTGCAATGTAATTAGATATTGTAATATTTATTTATCATAAGGCAAATACAAGTGTGAATCCTAGCTCTGACCCATCTCAATGCATGACCTTACGAAGTATAGTTTTCACATACATAAAACGGAAATAACAATGAATGTTTATGAGGATTTCATAATATAATACACTGGGGGGGGGTGATTTTATCTCAATATGATCTTTGCCCCCCACTTCTGAGATAACTTGGAAGCTCTTTTAATTTCCTGAGTATTTAAAGCTCTTTGTTACCTAGATGACCGTGAGGATTTGTATTACTGACTAACCCGACCAGAAAGATTACTGCTTTCATTGGTACAGTTAATTTCTGAGGAGGGTTTATGGCTAATCCAATTAATCAAAATTATGTATGAATCCATAAAAGGCTGAACATGGAAACTTTCATTGACTGTCTGGTTAGTGAAAGGCTGAGAGCTGAGTGGCTAATGAATCCTTTGGAGCATGGAAATGGAAGCTCCATATCCTCTCTACATTCCCAGTCTCATTCTGAGTCTCTTCATTGGAATGTTGGGTTTTCCCCCCCTATGTTGTGGATAGTAATCATATGTACAGCAGTTCTGTGAGGGCTATGAGACATTTCTGCGAACTAATTGAACCCCAAAATAGTAAGAACCAACAAGTACTAAGGGTGCTGTGTAGTCTGTAGAGGTGTGCCTAAAGGCTGACCACGTGGCAACCTGGAGGACAGGATCCTTTAAACTTGTGAGGGCTGACCTAAATCCAGGTGGTCACATAATGAGAGCTGTGCAGCTGGCTTGTAAAGTGGCACATTTACATAAAAGAATTTTATAATCATCAAGTGTTATTTTTTAAAAACAGAGCAGCTGGTTCAGGAGTTTGTAACTTCTTGTAGACTAAGCAACATATGTTTGTGTTAAAAGTGTATTATAAAGGAGCTCTGGTGGCCTAGTGGCAAGAAGATGCATTGCAATCCCAGAGGTGCCTGGTTTGAATCCACCAGATGCTCTGTGGGAGGAGGGACAATCTCCTCCTGTACTAGTCAGATCTGATTTGACGGTACACACAAAAAATAATAAAAAGAAAATAAAATTGTTAAAAAAAGTTTATTATAGCATTGATTGGCTTAAATTTTTTTTTAAAAAGTAAAGTTTATTATAGCAGTCTCTACATAGGTATTCTTTTTAACAATCAAAAGTATAATTACGTATCTTATGCACCTGTGTTTATATGCTTTGATTCTAAATAATTTGCTTGTCATTAGTTTGCTTGTACAATAATTATGTTCATTTCTGTCATCCACTCACTTTAACAAATCAGAATGTTTTAAGAATTTTAATTTTAATAGATACATTTAAGTGATAGAGTTTACTATTCTGCATAAGGGTAGCTTTTAAATACAGGAGCATCTCCTTGTCAAAGATCAGTTGACTAGGCGGATGAACTTACTCATGGGTTCTCAATTCTATTCTAATGGCTGACTTTTTTTCCAAACCAAGAATGGAAAAGACAGGGAGTAGAGGTGTTTAACAGAGAGGCTGGGTTCATTTACTGATACATTTACTCCTTCCTCAACTCCCAACTCACTTTGTAATGCATTTCCTGTTCCAGACAGCTGTCATACATAAAATACCTACCTAATCATCCATTCACTCCTTTCAGCTAGCATCCTGTCTTTATAACAGCAGTCTTATGCTGTATTTGTCCTTTTGTGACAAAGATATTTCAATCAGTATGTCTTCCAGATTTACCAATGTTGTGTAGTGTTTTACAAGTTCATTGGTTTTCAATGCTGCATAATATTCCACCATGCAAATGTCCTGGTTTTTCTATCCATTTGTTTATTGATGGGCACTTAGCTGCTTCCATCTCTTTGCTATTGTGAATAACGCTGCAATAAACTGGGTCGCTTGGTCAAATGGTATGATCATTTCCAACTTTGTGAACAAGTGCCAGGCAGTCCTCCATAGACACTATAGCACCTTACATTCTCACTAGCAGTGTGTGTGTTTTGGTATCTCTGTATCCTCGCCAGCACTTGCTGTCCTGTTGAACTCTGCTACTGCTGTTTGGGTAAGATGATATCTTATTGTTGTTCTGAGTTGCTTCTCTCTAATAACTAGGGATTCTGAACATTTCTTTATGTGGGTTTTTTTTGTTTGGTTTGGTTTGGGGGTTTTTTTGCCATCTGACCTTCTTCTTTGGTGAAGTGTCTTTTCACATCTTGTGCTCATTTTGTGACTGGGTTGTTTGCCTTTTTCTTGTTGAGATGCTGGAGTACTCTATAAATTTTAGATATAAGTACCTTATCAGATATGTCATTACCAAATTTCTTCCCTAGTCTGTGTTTCCTGTTTTAGAAGGGTGTTTGGTTTTTTTGTTTGTTTGTTTTTTTATGTGTATAAAGATTTTGAAGATTCGACTTTTAGATTCATCGATTTTATTTTCTCCTGGTTGTACGTTATGTTTGGGAATTTATTACTGTTACAGATAGGGTTTCTAGAGGTCTCCTAGTTTTCCCCTGAGGAACTTTATAGTTTTTGGGTTTTCTCTTAGATCCCTGATCCACTTTGTTTTCAAATATGGTGTAAGGTGTGAGTCTTGCTTCAGTTTTTTGCAGATGGTAGAATGTTTTGCAAGCACCATCTGTTAAAAAGGTTGTTATCTCCTCACTTAACTGTCTCCTTGACAAAGATCAGCTGACCATCAGTAGATGGTTGGTTTTTGAGCTCTCGATTCCATTCCATTGATGTATGTGTCTGTCACTTTACTGGTACCATGCTCTCTTGACTACTATGGCTGTGCCCTACGGTTTTGAGACCAAGGAGTGTGAGGTGAGGTGTCCTACCTTGTTTTGCTTTTTCAGTAGTGCTTTTCTTAATTAAGGTCTCTTTCCTTCCCATACAAAACCGAAAATAGCCTTTTCCATCTCTTTGAAGAATGGCATTTGTATCTATATTGGGACTGTGTTTTAGATTGCAATCTAAATTGTCGTTTGCTTTTGGTAGAAGCATCATTTTTACTATATTGAGTGTTCCTATTCAGAAGCATGGTATATTCTTCCATTTCTCTTGGTTTTGTTTTGTTTCTTGTAGTGGTGTTTTATAATTTTCTTTGTATAAGTCTTTTGTGCCTCTGGTTAGATTTGTTCTTTAGTATATCCTCTTGTGGTTAGCTATTGTAATTATTTTCTTTTCTGTGCTCTGTTTGCTATTACAGAGAAAGCCAACTGAATTTTGTATGCCAAGACTGTATCCTGTCTGCTACTTTGAGGTACTGGCCAACTATGTCTAACAGATTCTTTAGGGTTATCATCTGCCTAGAGGGAGAGTTTTACCTCCTCTTTGCCAATGTGAATGCTTCTTATTTCTTCTCTTATCATTTTTATATTTTCTCACCATGGTCTTGAAACTCCCACCAAATGACTAAGTGCGATCATGCCAATAAGGTGTCAACTAAAAGACTGGATAGCTTGCTAATAAAATACATAAGGAGTATAGTCATCTTGTGGAAGTAGGATCATGCACGTAAGGGATAAAGAACCCTAACAAGGGTACTAGTTAGATCTGCCATTTGTTAGGCTTAAAAGAAACAGAATAGGACATGGTTTAGATCTGTAGTCCACAGTGTTGCTATGAGTTGTACCCAACTTGATGGCACCTAACAACACCAACAACAGACTTAAAATAAGAGTCAATTCCAGAACAGATGGGGGGGGACCCAACTATCACCAGGAAAAAGATAAAAGATGGGAGTAAAGCATATCTTTTGGAACTATGGTCCCTGTAGTGCAAACCTCTCAGACTCAGGAGACAAAGAACTTAATATGAGAAATAGCAAGAAAATGCCATAGGAGTGAAAGCTGATGTTAGAACTCATAAAATAGTTGGAGATAGGAGGTGTGTCTGACCTCTGCTCCACAGGAATCAACCTTGGGGTGATGCTGATTATCCCTCTTCCTCATGAAGTTAAGGATGTCAGATGCCTCTCCACTATGATATGTTCACAGTAAGGAAGGATCTGTAAGTAAGGATTTTAAAACTAATCTAAGTTGTCCTCAATAATAATATTTGTATATGAGGAGTATAAGTAAACTTTTTGTTCAAATATCATAATTTTTTATATAAGACCTTTATATTACAATTATATATTATCTTACTTTCATAATAGGTGTAGTACCATAAGAAATAGCCCACCAAGCAACATTTGACAACATGTATTTTTCTTATTCCATTTCATTGTTCTTTGTATAGACATATAAACACACAAATAAGCAGCTATTCTTTAATTTCTCAAACATAGGGTAAGCTCCCAATGGCTACACCTACCATTATCATTCTTTGCTGTCGTCTTCTGACAAATAAAACTCTTACAATGTAATAGTTTAAACACATATGTACATGCGTGTGTGTGTGTGTATATATATATATATATATATATCTTACAATCTATTACTCTCATTTCTTCCAAAGTGACTAATTATTATTTTTTAAAAAGGAAATAATTTTTGTGAACATACAGAATAAATCAGGGCAAAGAATGTTTCATACTTTAAATTTCTACTATCAATGGAAAGATCATTTATGTATAAACATGTATATAACTTACATTCTATCTAATACATATGGCTACTAGAAAAGCAGATTTAATGTTTTCTAAAGAATATACCAATAAAAACACTTTTTTAAAAAAATACTATCTTGGGGTAAAATGTGCAACAATGAATGAATAAAAACCTAACTTTTCTGTAAACTTTTTTTAAAATCACAATTAAAATAAAACATTTTATTTTAAAAATACTATCTGAAACTGTTAAAACAGTATAAGGAAAACTTTTCCTTTTAAGTAATCTATACACTAAAAATATGCCACTCTCAGACTGAAAACCTAAAAACAAATACATTCAACTTGTCAGAGTTATCTTATACACCACAGAAAGAAAACTGTTATCCTAACGAAAATGATGGCTTCTATATCTAGATCTTTTAGTCCATCTACAAAGTAGTCTCTGTTGAAACACTTTAAATGGTTTTCAACATCATTTTTTTGAAAACTTTGAGGCTTTCATATTTATGGAACCATAAAGCTTGAACTGTATCATTACTATTATAGCCACTGCAAAAATGAATATATAAGTTAAAAACTCCAATTATAATTCTGTTTAACTGTAAACTAGAGTGATTAAAAGACAGCCTTTTAAAGCCTTCTAATTTTACTATTCTCTACAATCAATTTAAGATTTATTGAGTGCTTAATTATGTTAGTGGCTATTTTATTCAAATACACCTTGCATATCCTTTTTCTAGTATCACAAAATTGTTTCTGATTAAAAATAAACTTAAATAGCAGACCTTCCCAAAGCTTCTTCCAAATGCATGGTAGCTGCTCGCAGTTGATTTTGACTGACTGCTTTAAGAGACAGGCCCAGGCGAGAGGACTCAGTGGTGAAATGGTGGCAGCGGGGCTTTGCTGGAGTGGCCTAACAAGCAGACAGTTGCCACAGTTTGAAATCCTACAGAACAGTTTGCTGCTGCCCAAGATCACTTTAATGTTACACTGTGTGTTCTTGGAAAGATGTATTATTGAAAGGAAGGCTGAAGCATATTTGCATCATTTCAAAGCATGACAAAGACTTGTCCTTGCCTAAGTTAGCACACTGCTGTTAGCTACCAAGGCTGAGTCAATTCTGACTCCAGGCTACACCATGTGTTCAGAATAGAACTGCTGCACAGGGTTTTCATGGCTGTGATCTTTCCGAAGCAGATCACCAGGCCTGTCTTCTGAGGCACTTTAGGAGGGTTTGAACCACCAACTTTCCTGCAAATATGAGTGTTTAACTGACTATGTAACACAAGGATTCCCACGTTAGCAGAAGATGCATGCCTTTCTGAGAAATACAGAAAAGGGAAGGCAGGTTAACTATCAGGAAGAAAAGTTAGTATGGAAATAAATGAGATTAATTAGTCTTCAAATTCTTTAATCCTAAAGTAGATGCAACAAACAACATATCCCTAGAGTTATAGCATTCATTATCAGAGAAAAACAACGTACAGTAAGACTGAACCCGACTAAAAGTATTTGAAATAACAAAAATAAAAATTTCCAGTATTGCTTATTTTCATATTTTTTGTCATGTATTTATCCATATAAGGTTCAGTGAAAATAATTTGCTTACCAATTATTGTTAAAATGAATAAAAGCGTAGAGACACCTGATGTGCCGTAAAACATGGTGCTGATATTGCAAGCCAGGAGACTTGTGTTATTCTGTGTGTTGGGCACTAAGACTGGTGGTAGTAAAAAGCCAACTGCAGTTCCAAGCTGTAAAACAAATAGTACTATTAACAGCAATTATTTTATTCTAAGGAGAGAAAACTTTCACCCACAAATAATAGGACATAAAGAGACAGCTGATGTATGTTAACTGTAAACTTTGAGGTGCTATGCTCTGGTGTCTTAGTTACTACTGTCTTTGTTACTATTGTTCCATCAAAGGAGAATTTGGACAATTCTCCTTCCTTTCAACACACATTTACTGAGCTTCTATTATATACATGATACTGCTATAAAGATGCATAGAATACAATCCTTGCCCTTTAAATGCTTAATTTTCTTTTCTTAAAGAGGGGCACGCATATGCAAAAATAAAGTTAAGAAAGGTCCTACAGCAAGGATTGCAAACCATTTACCTAGTAAATGTCTAGTACACAGACAATACAAAGAATTCTTAGAATTCAACAACAAAAAGATAATCTACTGTCAGTCTAAAGGTGTACCTGATCCAAGCCATGGTCTTCTCACTTGTTTGCTATGCATGTGAAAGCTGGACAGTGACTAAGGATGACAGAAGAATCAATGCTTTTGAATTGTGATGTTGGAGAAAAGTATTTCAAACGTTGGAGAAAAGTATTTGAAATGTTGGAGAAAAGTATTTCAAATATACCACTGACTGCCAAGAGAGGAAAGAGGCCTGTGCAGGAGAAAGTGAAACTAGGATGTACCCTGGAAGCAAGGATGGTGGAAGTCTATCTCACATACTTTGGCCATGTTGTCATGATGGCCCAGTCCTTGGAGCAGGACATCATGCTTGGAAGGGTAGAAACATGAGAGGAAGACCCTGAATGGGATGGATGCAGTTACTGTGGCAATGGTGACTTTGATAGGGTGAGATTGGCTTAGGATGGGAAAAGGTTCAGAGCTGTTGCTTCCAGGATCGCTATGAGTCACAGTCAACTCAATGACATAATATAATTTTTAAGAGGAAACAAAAAATTTTAATGGACATTTCTCTAAGACATACAAATTGCCTAAAACATGTTCAACAGTTATTATTCTCTGTTGTCATGTTGGAATTGACCCACAGGTGGCCCTGTAGTGGTTTTTCAGACACAGTAATACCCCTCACAGGAGGGGTTTACCTATCCATCTCCTGCAGAGCAGCTGGTGGACTTGAACTGTGTATCTTTGGGACTGCACCACTAAGCCCACAATGAGATCCTACTTTGTTGTGTAGGCCTCTGAAACAAATCTTGACTCAAAGTGATTTTATAGCATTCTAGAAGTCAGTGAAAGTAGAATTGTCCCTTAGAATTTCCAAGGCTGTAAATCCTCATGGATGCAGATTGCCCCATCAGTCTTCCACAGAATGGCAGGTGAGTTCAAACTACTGACTTTTCAGGTATCAACCAAGCACTTAACCACTGTGCCAGCAGAGCTCCTTTTTGTATACATTAAGGTGGAAAATAACAACTCTTGGCAAAATATGGAAAACTGGAACTGAGAATGTAAAATTGCAGTTAGTTCCCTGGGAAAACCAACTTGACAGTTCCTCAAAACCTTAAATTTAGAATTACCATTTAACCTAACCATTTTGCAGCACACAGGATCACAAGAGCTACATTTGTCTAAAATTGAAAACGTGGAAGGTAGAAAGCAAAAATGGCAGAGGGCTGATTATCTATCTTCAAAGCTGCACTATGTATAACAGACAAAAGGAAACAATGCAAACGTCCACCAACAGAGGACTGGAAAAACGAAACGTTATACATACAACGGTGTATTATTTGTCCATATAAAGGAATAAAGCAATGAAGCATACTACAACTTGGATGAACCTAGAAAACACTGTGTAAAACAAAAGAAAGTCAGACACAAAAAGGTACTGATGATTCCATTTGTATAGAAATATTTCTAACAGATCAAACTGTTAAGAAAAGCAAGTAGATTAATGACTTCTATAGGCTGAAGGAGGAGGGAAGAGGGAGTTTTAGTTAATGGGAATGTTGTTGTTAGATGCTGTCAAGTTGGGTACAACTCACAGCAACTCTATAAACTGTTGTCCTGAACCCTGCCATCCTCACCATCTCTGACACACGAGAGGCCACTGCTGAAATCACCAAATCAATTCATCTCGTTGGGGGGTAGTTTTCCTTTCCTTTGCTGACTGACCTTCCATCTTTTCAAGCATGATGTCCCTTTCCAAGGAAAGCCTCACTTAGCTACCTGTCCAAAGCATGAAAGATGAAGCTTTGCCATCTTTGCCTACAAGGAGCACTTTGGCTAAACCTTTTCTAAACCATATCTGTTTATTCTTTTGGTGATCCATGGGATATTCAGTACTCTAGAATTCTAGAGTCCCACAACTCATAGGCCTCAATTCCCTTTTATTTTAAAAAAAAAAATTTTATTTTATTGGTTTTTTCTGCGTGTACCGTCAAATCAGATCTGACTGGTACAGGAGGAGATTTCCCCTTCTTCTCCAGTAGAGCATCTGGTGGATTCGAACCAGGCACATCTGGGATTGCAGTGCAGCTTCTTGCCACTAGGCAACCAGAGCTCCTCAATTCCCTTTTTAAAAAATTTGTTTTTAATGAATTTTCTATTTGAGTAAAGATTTAAAAACCATATTGGTTTTTTATATATTCATTCACAGAAATCCTGTTTTCTAGGGAGCTCTGGTGGCCTAGTGGCAAGACGATGCACTGCAGTCCCAGGGGCACGTGGTTCAAATCCACCAGATGCTCTGGTGGAGAAGGATGGGGCAATCTCCTCCTGTACCAGTCAGATCTGATTTGACGGTACATGTAAAAATAATACAATAAAAATTTAAAAAAAAAAATCCTAAGGGGAGCTCTGGTGGCCTAGTGGCAAGGAGCTGCAACTACAATCCCAGAGGCTCACGGTTTGAATCCACCAGATGCTCTGCCGGGGAAGGAGGGACAACCTCCTCCTGTACCAGTCGGATCTGATTTGACGGTACACTCACACACAAAAATAATAAAATTTAAAAAAAAAAATTAAAAAAAAATCCTGTTTTCTAACATTAACACATTGCCACAAATGACAGTAATAAATATTTTTTTAAAAAGTGTTTCTAAGCACGGTCGTCAATTTAAAAATGTGCGACAACGTGTTAATTACCACTGGTTAATATACGTAAAATATTTAAGCAATTCCTTATCACATACTGCCTTTCCCTTCCCAGCCTATGTTTTTTTGGTTAGGGTTTTTTTTCCTCCCTTTTCATCCCTATTATATCTTTAAGATTAATTTTTGAGACTGATGAAAAGGTTTTGGAACTAGGCAGAGGTGATGATTTTACAATGTTGTAAATGCGCTAAATTGTTAAAAAAATTATTATGTGAATTTCACCTTTAAAAAAAAAAAGGCTGGATCAGAGCATCATAATAAGGTAAAAAATATTAAGGAAGTTTAGTGGAGAAACTACCTGAGAAAGTTGAAGAGAAAGTCCAAGAAAAGTTTCAAGGAAGATGCTGAAGCAAAGGTAGGAACTAACATTCACCAAATATTCTATTTGCTTCGTTATAAAAAGCTGGAGACACAGGTTAATTACAACAGAGTGTGATAAGCACTGTACTGGGAAGAGGAAGTAGACTGAGAAGGCCATGTAATTTATCATCCAAACCAGAAGAGGCTACATTAGGAATTATGCTGGACAACTGTGTACACCTGGACTGTTTCAGCAAAAGTAGCACATACAGTCACACTAGCTAAAGGAATACTTTCGAGGAACATCTTGCTCAGATTTGGAGTTGAAAAAAAGTGTCTGGAGAAACAAAATACTGAAATAAATTGAAGTTGGCAAAGAGAAAGAAGGAGAAAGGTTCCAAGGCAAGATGAAACTGCAAAGGCCAGGAAGGAGAGGACACAATACTGGGAGATATAGTAAGTAGTACCCAAAGAGGAGACATAATATGTGTGTGGAAAATGCAGACCATGGTGGAAAAAGGTACAGAATTGCCAGGGAGCAGATCTGGAAGGTCTTAAGCGTCCAAAGAGAAGTGGTAGCCACTTTAAGATACCAGGCAGTGACTTAAGGAGCCAGGATGGCGTAGTGGTAAGGTGCTGTACTGTCAACCCAAAAGCACCTTGTTCGATTCAGCTCATGAGGAAGATGGGCAGCCTCCTCCTGTGTGATTTATTGCCTCTGAATATCCACTGGAGGGTCAGCTATGAGTCTGTTCTGATTTGATGGTATACAACAACGTACCTATGAAAGAGCACACTGGGTAAATGTGAGACACGGAGGGCAAAGAGCAGGGGCTACAGACGAGATGAGGTAGCATGCTCTAGGCAAGGGCCCAAGGCAAGGACGCTGGCCAAAGCAAAGACAGTATGTTGTTGTTGTTATGTGCCGTTGAGTTGCCTGCGACTCACAGCGACCCTATGTACAATAGCCCTAAACTCTGCTCTGTCCTATGCCAATCGCTCTGTCTCTGACACGCCCATCCCAATTATCCTAGTCACTGAATCAATCCACCTCATAGAGGGCCTTCCTCTCCTGCGCTTTCCCTCCACCCTCCCAAGCATGATGTCCCTTTCCAAGGACCAGTCTCTCCTCACAACATGTCTAAAGTATGTTAGACGGAGCCTCAGAATCCTTGCCTCCAATAGCCACCCGGTTTAACCCTTTCCAGGACAAATCTGTTTGTTTTCCTAGCAGTCCATGGTAGGTACTCTCAATACTCTTCTCCAGCACCACAGCTCAAAGGCATCAATTCTCCTTCTATCCTCCTTGGTCACTGTCCAACTCTCTGATGCATAACAATTGATTGCGAAGACCATGGCCTGTATCAGACGCACCTTAGTCTCCAGAGAGACACCATTGCTCTTCAGTACTTTGGAGAGGTCCCTAACAGCAGACTCTCCCATGGCAATGCGCCTTTTAATTTCCTGGCTGCTGGTGCCAAGACTGTTGACTGTGGAACCAAGCAAACTAAAGCTGTGTACAAAGACAGTATAGCAGAAGTAAAGTGACATGTGCGCCTGCGATTCATAGTGACCTTATGGACAGCAGCTCTGAAGCCTGCCCTGTCCTGAGCCAATCTCACTGATTTTGACACACCTACCCCCAATGCCCCAGTTACTCTATCAATCCATCTCGTCCAGGGTCTTTCTCTTCTGCACTATCCCTCCACCAAATGAAATGAGCTAGGGTAAATTTTAGGTGGGGATTATTATGGGATATACAAAATGAATTTAAGCTGAGAGCTACAGAACAATAAGGATGCAATCATGTAATTCAAGGAAGAATATTCCAGGTTCAAAGAATGCTTCCAAAAAGGTCCTTACACAAATGTTGAGTTTTGACATCTTTAAGGAAAGAACACTAACTTAGCAAGGTTTTATAAAAGGAGTTAAGGTTTGTTTTTAGGGTTGTTTTTTTATTATTATTCTTTTACTTTTTTATTGGTTTTTTTGTGTGTGTGCATAACATCAAATCAAATCTGACTGGTACAGGAGGAGACTGTGCCTCCTTCTCCAGCAGAACATCTGGTGGATTGGAACCGCTCACCTCTGGGATTGCTGTGCAGCTTCTTGCCACTAGGCAACCAGAGCTCACCAGGAATTAAGGTTTTAAGTACCATGGAAAATTACTAGCCAGTTCAAAGTCATGCAAGTGACCTGACCTGTTTTATAAAGACCTGAAAAAAACAGCTTGGTAAATAAACAGAACTGAAAGTAAATGTTGCTACAAAGCTAGAATGTGACTAGCTGTGTGACTTTGGGTAAATCGTATCTCCAAAACTGTTTACAACATTAAGTTAAATGTATACAAAGTACTTAATACAGTACAGGCTCCTAGTGGTAGGCTCAGTAATATGTTTGTTGTTGTTATGTGCCATCAAGTTGCCTGCGACTCATAGTGACCCTATGGTCAACAGCTCTGAACCCTTCTCTATCCTGAGCAAACCTTATCGTCTCTGACACAACTAGCCCCATTACCCCAGTCACTGAGTCAATCCATCTCATCGAGGGTCTTTCTCTCTTGCACTGTCCCTCCACCCTTCCAAGCATAATGTCCCTCTCCAAGGACTGGTCCTACCTTGCAACATGCCCAAAGTATGTCACATGAAGCTTCAGAATCCTTGCCTCTATGGAGCAGCCTGGTCTCACCCTCTTTCAGATGAACCTGTTTGTTCTCCTAGCAGTCCATGGTACGTACATTCAATACTCTTCTCCAGTAACACAGCTCAAAGGCATCAATTCTCCTTCTATCATCCCTAGTCACTGTCCAGCTTTCTGATACATAGCATGTAATAGTGAAGACCATGCCTGGATCAGATGCACCTTAGTCTCCAGAGTGACACTATTGCTCTTCAGTATTCTGGAGATGTCCTTGACAGCAGACTGTCCCAATGCAATTTATCTTTTGATTTCTTGGCTGCTGGTACCAAGAGCGTTGGTTGTGGATCCAAACAAACTAAAGCTGTTAACAATCTCAATCTTTTTCCCGTCTATCATGATGCTGCCAATCACAGAATATGATTAGTCATCCGTAATCCAGACTAATGAAGCACAGATGAAAGTCTTGAGCAAATGCGCTGGGACCAAGGCCAAGGAAGAAATGAGAAGGAACAAGGTACAATGAAGGTGTGCTGCAGATAAAGGGAATTCTGCCTATGAGAAAACATTTCCATGTACTATCCAAAGCGTGTGTTGTTATTGTTGTGTACCACAGAGTAGGAAATGACCTATCGCTAACTCTCCATCGGGTTTTTCAGAGGCAGTTAATTGTGCAGGAGGAGACTGCCCAGACTTCTCCCATGGATAAGCTGGTGGCTTCGAACCACGTGCCTTTGGACTTGCAGCACAAATTCTTGCCACTAGGGCACCAAAGCTCCCTGAAGCATAGGTAATCCTAAATATAGTGCTGATAATAACACTGTCATGCTCAACAAGGTCTTAAATCTTTAATATAATTTCACAAATGTAAAATAATTTAAGGAAACAACTTCTAACTAAACATGCAGATGCAAACAAGTAAAACTTTGATTGAATGCCTGATAACAATTATTGTAGTTGGACCAATTGGTAGCATCAGGATGGATGGCAAAGAGATTGAAATTGTTCACAGCTTCAGTTTGCTCGGCTCCACAGTCAACACTCTTGGCAACAGCAGCCAGGAAATCAAAAAACGTATTGTGATGGGAAAGTCTGCTGTTAGGGACCTCTTTACTCAAGAGCAATGGTGTCTCTTTGGAGACGAAGGTGCACCTGATACAGGCCATGGCCTTTGCAATCACTTGTTATGCATCAGAGAGCTGGTCAATGACTAGGGAGGATAGGAGAATTGATGCCTTTGAGCTGTGGTGCTGGAGAAGAGTACTGAATGTACCATGGACTGCCAAGAAAACAAACAGATTCATCCTAGAGAGGGTTAAACCAGGCTACTCCTTGGAGGCAAAGATTCTGGGGCTTCGTCTGACATACTTTGGACATGTTGCAAGGAGAAACAGGTCTTTAGAGAGGGACATCATGCTGGGTAGAGTAGAGGGACAGTGCAGGAGGGGAAGACTCTCTATGAGGTGGATTGATTCAGTGACTGGGGTAATCGGGATGGGTGTGTCAGAGGCAATGCGATTGGCACAGGATAGAGCAGGGTTTAGGGCTGTTGTACATAGGGTCGCTACAAACAACACCTTCTATACTTTGAGCCAAAATGAAAATACAAAGCAGGAGGTACGCACACTCAGAGAGTCTTTCCTGAATGTTAAAGACTCCCAAGGAGTGCTGGTGCCCTGGTCTGCACAGTTACCTCTAGCCCAAAGGCCATGCCTCTGGCAGATGGACTCCACCAGAGGCTCTATTCCAATGTGACTTCTAGCCTTGGAGGAAACCTGCTGGAGTTCTGAGTCAGTTCTGGCCCACAGGCAGCGTGCATTTTATTTTGTTTTAAATGAGTCTTCGTGGTACAAAGGATAAAGCACTGAGCACTATGGGGGTAACAGTTCAAAGTTCTAAGCTGCTCTGTGGGAGAAAAATGCTGCAATCTCCTTCAATCAAGATGATAGCCCTTGGAACAAAAGTCAGAATCATAAAAACCACCAGACTTTGTGATCTGATAGACTGATGACACTCCTGAGACTTTAGCCCTTAGTCACCCTGCAAGCCTGGAACAGAAATCACTGCGGTATCTCAACATTCAGTCAAATATGCCTATAAAAGGTTCAAAATCACCGAAGAGAAACACACTCTGAACCAACAAATATGCAAGATCAAAAGGGCAGTAGCTGCCTAGATATAATGCTCAGAAAGCAGGAAGGGACAAGAAAAGGCAAAAAGAGAAGTGGAAGGAGAATGATTGAGTATGTGAATTCTAATCAATGTCACAAAACATAGTATGCATGAATTGTTAAATGGGAAAACGAACTTGCTCTGTAAGCTTTCATTCAAACCACAATTAAAAAGTAGTATGTTATTTTTCTCAACTAAGGGCTTGACCTTCATCTTCACGCCAGGCCTTACCTGATTGCCCAATACAGCGGTGGCACAAGCTGTGGACACCTCCTTGGGCCCAAACCACACGGAGGCGATGCTGGAAGGCAAGCCCAGGATAAACACCTGGGCCACGGAGCACAGGCACTGGCCCAGCATGGTAACCCAGAAGAGATGGGGCTGCACGCTCCCGCACTTGACCCAGGCGCCCAGGCAGTTGAGGCCAGAGCCCAGAAGCACCGTGAGCCGCAGGCCTTTGGTGTCCAGCAGCCAGGTGGCCGGGAAGATGAGGGGCACGTAGGCCAGCATGTAAACCATGGACAGCCAGTCGATGTGCAGCGACGACACGCCGTAAAACCCCTCAAAGACATTGGAGATGATGCTGTACTGGATCCACTGAAAGGCGTTCACCAGCGAGTACAGGCTGAAGATCAGGAGCACCACAAAGCGCCGCGGGGAGAGCGCAATCCGAGGCGCGGGGATGCCCTCCACTCCCGGGGTCCCCACGCCATCGGCCGCGGGGAGCAGCCGGGCCTGGGTGTCCTCCTCCGCGGCCAGGGAAGACTGCGGCCCGCCCAGGGCTTCCGAAGGGCTGCTGAGCGGGCCCTCTTTCAAGGCCAGGCAGATGGCTCTTTGCCCATTCGGAGGCTCCGCGCTCACCTCTCCGTTCGCCGTGTGCCCCAGCACCGGAAGGTACCCATTCACATACGTGTGCCCCGCGTCTTCCGCTGCCTCCTCCTCACTGTCCGGCCGCCCCATGTCTCAGCACTCCGGCACTGGATGAGCCACCAACCCTCGGTTCAGCCTAGCCCCAACCCGCACCCACGACCGTCCACCCCGGCGACCCCTTTCTGAGCTCAGGTGAGCGTAGAACAGCAAGCTCGCCAGCCTGTGAGGCGATTACACGTTCACCCCATTGGTTCTTTGCCCGCGCACCAAGCCGTACCCGGCGGCAGTGCCGTGACCCCGCCAGCCAGCCAATCAGAGTCCTTGCTGGGCGTGGTAGCCAATCCAGAGAGCCTATGCGAGACCGGGGCGGAAACAAGCGTGCTACGAGCCCTGGGGAAAGGCTGAGCTGGTGCGCTCCACCCTGGAAAGATGGAAGGTCCTCTACTAGAGTGGGTGACGGGCCAGGAGGCGGTCAGCTAATCAGACACTCTGGACTAAAACACGGGCGGGAGAAAACGAGACCACAGCAGCAAGCATCACCTCCGAACCCTTGTCGTCAGATGCAATCAAGTCCGCTACAACTCATAGCGAGTAGGACAGACCTGAACCTTGCTGTATCCATTGTTGCTGCGTGCGATCTACTCACCCATAGCCGACCCTCTAGCAGGTTTTCAGAAGCTGTAAATCCCAGGGAAGGAGAGTGCCCATCTTTCTCCTGCGGAGCAGTTGGTGGATTCGAAACCCTTGGCTCTGGAAATGCAGCACAGCTTTTTATTACTAGACCACGAGGGCTCCATTGCCCTGCTATCCTAGTGGGCTCCAGTAGACTCCTAGTAGACCCAGTCAAAGGAAGGAATTTGGTCATGACTCAGTGATTGGAGTAATGGGGGTAGGTGTGTCAAAGACAGTTAAACTGGCACAAGATATAGAGCAGGGCTCAGGGCTATTGTACACCGGGTCGCTCTGAGTCGCTTGTAACTCGACTGCACATAACTGAAAGCTGCCAGGAGAGGCTGTAGAATAGATTTGACTGCTTTTGTGGTTTCTATTCAGAGGGAAAGAGCTAGAAAGCACCCAATTCCAAGTAGTCCATGAGAATACTGTGTTCATGAATTTGGAAACCCTCTCCCCACTCCACCAATCTGAATGGTCTTCTTACTGAATGCAAGGGGTTCTTACTGTAGTTAATTGTCAATAAGACAGATTGCAAAATCTATATGCACTTTATTACAGATCTGGGAGAACAGCAAGTTCCTATTAAAAACTGCCTCGCTGTCTAGGAGTGGTCATTAGCCTTTTATACCAGGGTGAAACACAAACTCACTTAACAATGCACTTCAGTTAATAAAAGAAGAATTTTTACATCTGGGGGGAAAAAAAATTCACACGCAGATACCAGTAAACAGGCAACTTACAAATGTGTTAACACATGACAGAAAAACAGGCCCTGAAAAAAATAAAGGCTAACTCAGAAAAGGCCCACCTCCTCTCCTAGCAAACTGGCAGATTAAGATACAATTTACATCATAAGCCTGGGGAAAACAGTTTCAAAGAGCGCTGATCTAGGGAAGATGCATTTCCTCTCCTAGTAAAAAGACCACTTAAACTACATTAACATGACTAGAGAAAGGAAATAAGGAATTCTAAGACAAGGTAACTAGTTTTACAGGCTAGAGAAAACTGACCTCAGTTTTATAACTATGTAACTACAGTTTTATAACTGATACATTTTTAGAAAATTCTGAATTTACACCACCCCATCAATCCTGTCCCCCAACATTTGGTGGCAAAACCTGGAGTTAACTATTTACTGGATGTACATATTCAGTGGTTTCTGATACCAAGCAAGCATAGTCCCTGCTCTTCAGAGCACACAGAAACTTACACCTCTTCTGTATCAGAAAAAGCTAGCTGGTCAAATTTGAGAAATTGAATTTGGAAGGAAAAAAAGACCGTACACAGTCATTATTAAAAGGGTGTTGAAACTTAATGTATGTATCATTCTCACTGTGGATTTTTTTTTTTAATGCTACTGTTTAGAACTCAAACAGGGACCACATAAAATTGCACACGACAGCATTATTTTGGTCTTTGTCTCAATATGAATAAAATGTTGTTGTTGTTAATGCCATCTAATTGATTCATGAACTATGTACTATGTACTATGAACCACATATCTGAAACTTGCCTTATCCTGCACCATCCTCACATCTCTGGTTCAATGTCAATGTCATTGTTACCACTGGCATTTGTCTCAATCTATCTTATGCAGGGTCTTCCTTTCTTACGGTGACCCACTGTCTTCCCCGGTATAATGTTTCAAACTTGATAGGGTGGTATTGGTAAATTCAGAATTATCCAAATTTATGATATAGTGATAAAACTGACATCAGGTACCTCCAGCCTGCAAAACAGGTTGCTTTGCCCCAGAATCCTACTTCTGTTTCTTTAGTCATATAAAGTACTTTAAACTGCCTCTTTACAAGGAGCGGAAATGCATGTTTTCCTGGATTAGCATTTACCTCATTGGTACTATTTTTCTCAGTCCTATGTAAATTGTACCTTAAACTGCCTGTTCATTAGGAAGGGAAATGCATCTTCCCTGGATTAGCATTTTTGTTTTGCAACTGTGTTTTCTTAGTCATATGGAAAGTATATCATAACTTGTTTACTGGTAACTGTTCTTTTTGAGTGCAAAAATCCTGTAACTTTGAACTTGTTGTTGTTGTTATGTGCTGATTTATTGTTGTTATTGTGACTCATAGCGACCCTATGTACAACAGCCCTGAAACTTGCTCTATCCTGTGCCAACTTTACTGTCTCTAACACACCTACCCTCCTTATCCCAGTCACTGTATCAATCATCTCATTGGTGGTCTCCTTCTCTTTCTCCGTCCCTCCACTCTTCCAAGCATGATGTCCCTCTCTAAGAACCCATCCCTCCTTGCAACATGCCCAAAATATGTCAGATGAAGCCTCAGAATCCTTGTCTTCTGGAAGTAGCAGGGTCTCACCCTCTATTGAATGAACCTGTTGTCCTTTGAACTAGCAATAGTACTGTTAAGCACATCAACACAACTAAAATATAAAATGACCACTGTTAGATAGAGAAGCAACTTTTGAAAGAATTCTCTCTACTCTCTCACTCCTACAATAAAGTGCTTTGGAGTTATCTGTCTTACTGGCACTTGAATGTGGAGAGACCCCCCCCTTGCATTCAGTAACAGACTGATTTCTGCTAAAAATATGCCCACAGTGAAGTGTGACAAAGTTTCACTATGCTGGTCTCAGAGGAACAGTCTGATTGCATTTCCTTCACAACAGATTTGTTGTTTTGGCAGTCCTTTGTGTATTCAGTACTCTGCCAGCACCACTCTTCAAAGACATTGATTCCTCTTCTGCCATCTGAAAGGTTTCAGATCGAGGCCAAGAACCACGCCAAAGTAGAAATAGAATTCTTCTGCGTTTATTGCACTCTGGGCTACTCAGCTAGGGGAGTAGCCCTGGGGGTTGGGCTTAGGAGGTTTATATGGGGTCGTTGCAGTAGTTCATTGGTGCATAAAGTTTCTGGTCTTGAGAAACTGGTTCTGGGAATGTCCTGACATCAGATTTCTGAGTTCTGGTTTCAGAAAAATGTCCTGATAGAGGGTTTTCTAAGTTCTGGTTCGGGGAAATGTCCTGACATAGGGTTTTCTGAGTTCTGGTTTTGGAAAATATCCTGACATAGGATTTTTGAGTTGAGCTTCAACCTCCATTTTTATATTTAGCCTACCACCATCCATATTCATTGTCCAGCATTTGAATGCATAGGACATGACTGAAAAATATCATGACTGGAGCAGGTGCATTTAAATCTTTAAATCAATGTCCTTGGTCTTCAGAATTTTAGATGGACCTTGACAACAGACTTCTCCAATGAAGCAGGTGTTTTTATTTCATAGATGTTGCTGCCACCAGCGTTGATTGTAGACTCAAGTAAAATGAAATCATTGTTGGGGGTAGGAGGGCTGGGCAGGGAGAAAAGTGCAACAATGAATGAATGGAAATCCAAAATCTCTGTAAATGTTCATTAAAATTAATAAAATAAAATTTAAAAAAATGAAATCATTGAATACTTCAATCTTTTGTCCCTCCATCATGATGTTGCCTATTGATCCTGCAGTGAAGATTTATGTTTTCTTGATGTTAGCCTTCAATATGGTTTGAAGCTCAACATCAAGAAAACAAAGATTCTCACCACTGGGCTGACTGGCAGCATCGTGATAGATGATGAAGAGATGAGATTGTTGACAGGTTCAGTTTTTTGGCTCTGCAATCAACAGTTGGTACCAGCAGCCAGGAAATTAAAAGACAAATTGCATTGGGAAAATCTGACCTCTTCAAAGTACTGAAGAGCAACAATGTTAGTCTGGAGACTAAAGTGCACCTGATACAGGCCATGGTCTTTGCAATTACCTGCTATGCATCAGAGAGCTGAACAATGACTAGGGATGATAGAAGGAGAGTTAATGTCATTGAGCTGTGGCGCTGGAGAAGAATACCATAGACTGCTAAGAGAACAAACAAGTTCATCCTGGAGAGGGTGAAGCCAGGTTGCTCCTTGGAGACAAGGATTCTGAAGCTTCGTCTGACATACTTTAGACATGTTGCAAGGTGGGATCAGTCCTTGGAGAGGGACGTCATGCTTAGGAGGGTGAAGGGACAGCACAGGAGAGGAAGACCTTCAACGAGATTGATTGCTTTCATCACTGGGGTAATGGGGATAAGGTGTGTCAGAGACAAAAAGATTGGCAAGGAATAGAGCAGAGTTTAGGGCTATTGTACATAGGGTTGCTGTTAGATAGAAAAAAGAGCACGAGGGGAGGGAGGGAGAGAGAAAGGAAGGAAAGGAAGGGAGGGAGGGAGGGAGGGAGGAAGGGAGGGAGGGAGGAAGGAAGGAAGGGAGGAAAGAAAAAAGGAACTGGTCCCAAGAAACGAACAGAACAGGCCTTTATTCAGAGTGATGCCTAGTGACCTGGCTGCAGAGAAGATCAAAATGGCACATGGGCAGTTTGCAGAGATTCTTTCTTATAGGGGTCCTGGGGGAGACT